GGCCCCGCAGGGCTCCTTACCCAGGCAGGAGAGGACGTAGTGCTCCAGCTCCCGCAGGGTGGAGGGCCTGAGCGTCTCAAAGTCAATCTCGATCTCATCGGGGTCGGAGCCACACAGGGAGGGCTCCCACGACCGGATGATGTGCACCACCCGGCCCAGCTTCTCTCCAGGAAGCTTGTTGATGTCCCGGGTGAGACGGCACTTCTCATCGTAGGTCATGGGCTTGCTCACCGCCTCCTCTTCCTCTTCCTCCCAGTCGTACAGCATGGGGACGGGCGGGGGAGGGCCTTCTTGGAGTTCCTGCGGAGGGGGCAAAACACAGGCGTTAGCAAAGAGCGCACACACACCCCGGCCCACCGGAGGCCACTGGGACCAGATGGCAGCCATCAGCTTGTCTTGGCTGGACACAATGGGTCGATCTGCCGGGGAAATATCCCTGAAGGGATATTTTTTATTATTTTTATAAGACTAGAAAAACTACAAAGAAAATATGAGGAAAGGGGACTACATCTAGGGATAAAAAGGTAACGGTTTCCCTTGCTCGAAAGCCAGTCAAATCCGACTCTAGGGTTGCGGCGCTCAACTCCGTTTCCAAGCCGAAGAGTCAGCGCTGTCCGAAGACGTTCCCGTGGTCATGTGGCCGGCGTGACTAAACACTGAGGTGCATGGAACGCTGTTACCTTCCCACCGGAGTGGTCCCTATTTATCTACTTGCAATTTCTTGCTTTTGAACTGCTAGGTGGCAGGAGCTGGAACCAGAGACGGGAGCTCACTCCGTCATGCGGCACACTCGGGTCTCGAACTGCTGAACTACCGACCTTCCACAGCCTGCAGTTCAGCGTCTTAACCACTTGAGCCACCACAGCTCCCATCATCTAGGGATAAAGGATAGATAACCACACTATACTAAAAACCCAAGAGGAGGAGATCATATCCGTGTTAATCTAAGTGTTATTAATAAAAGTGTTAATACAATATACTTGTAGAGTTCTTTGTTTCGGCTTCAAGCTGCGGAGTCTTGTGAGCAAAAATTCTACTTTGTGAGCTTTTGTTTTGTTGTTGTTCAGTCGCACAGTCGAGTCCCGACTCTCCGCGACCCCATGGACCAGAACACGCCAGGCCCTCCTGTCTTTTGCCGTCCTCTGAGGTTGGCTCAATTTCATGTTCGTTGCATCTATGACACTGTCTAACCATCTCATCCTTTGCCATCCCCGTCTTCTTTGACCTTCAATCTTTCCCATCTACTTTGTGAGCTACTGGGCATTAATTAATTCATTCATTCAATTTTTCCACCACCCTCCCTGCCAAAGCAGGTTCAGGGCGGCTTACGGAGAAAACTCAACACATAAGCAACAATCAAAACCAATCAATCATAAAGCAATCCAATTAGAATGATGACAAAAGTGCTAGAAAAGTGGTCTGATACTAACGGTATTACTTAAAAAGCTGAGCGATTTGGCGACAGCAAAAATCCGTTTGCTCTGAAGCCCTCCTTCCTGGGCTGAGACAAAAAGTGTGTGAACCGGAGGCTAAAAAACTGTGAGCTGGCTCACACTCCAACTCAGCTTAACGGGAACACCGGAAAAGACTGCCCATCAACGCTCCCTCTAAGCTGTGGAGTCTTGTGAGCAAAAAAATCTACTTTGTGAGCTCCTGGCATTAAAGTTGTGAGCCAGCGATTTGGCTGCTGCATCAATTCGTTTGCTCTGGAGCCCTCCTTCCTGAGCCGAGACGAAAATGTGTGAACCAGAGGCTAAAAAACTGTGAGCTGGCTCACAGAGACTCAGCTCAGCGGGAACACTGGAAAGGACTCCCCATCCCTGCCCACTTGTCCCCAATCCTCTCCTAGGCCCGTTAAGGATGCAAGGGGAAGGCGCAGGTATTGCTAAGCCAGGGCAAGAGCACCAAACTGGCGAGGAGGGGGCACCGCCACACATGTGACACAACGCCCCTGCGGGTTGGCTTCCCAAGAAGAGAGAGGGACAGACGGACAGGTGTTGGGTCGGGCGGGGGCTGCCTGTCGTCTCTCCCACTCCCCCCTAAACTCAACCAGAAGGAAACGGAGAAAACAGCGGCCTGGTCGAGAACCAGGCAGGGAGAGAGGGGGAGCTTCTGTTGAGCGGGCGGCACAGAAGGTCCCCGCGCGGGGAGGCCGGCAAAATCGGGCTCGGCGGAACGGACGAGGCCTGCCGCGTCGGGAGGCGTCGGTCCCCGGCGGATCGCCACGGCCTGGGCGGCGGATGCCACTGGATTGCACTGGGGCTACTGGCCGCGCTCCGCCACGGCTCTCGTAGTAGGCTGGGGCGGACGGGCGGCGCTACGGAGGCCCGGAGGGGGGGGGGTCCACCGACCTGGGGATGCAGCCGGATTGACTCCGCCTACCCGCTCCCGCCTTTTCTCCCTCCGGCCGCCGTAGAACAAAACAGCCCCTCTCCGCCTGTCCACCCTCACCCCCACCCCGCAGCCCTTACATAGGCATCAACTCGCCGCTGATTGGCCAAGAAAGGAGCCGACGTCACCGTCCCGCCCAGCCACGCCCCTTGGCCGGCAACCCCCCCCCAGGCGAAGCGCGGGGACACGCCGCCTCGCGATTGGCGGAACCCGCTATCCATCACTCCTCCCGCTTCCGCCTCCTGCTGTTGCCTCCTGGCCGACCTCCCCCTTTGGACGGCCCCCTCCATTCGTTGCCGCTTGATTGGCCGGCCTGTCACGCGGGGGCGGGGCGACGGTTGGGGAAGCGTTGTTGTTGTGCGCCGCGAGCGGGGAAGGGAGGGGGAGAGGGAGCGGCGCCATTTTGTGGCGGGGGGGAGCAGGGCGCGGAGCCGGGCGACGTTGAGCGGCGTCGCGCCCGGCGAAGCGATCCTCTCAAGCACCCCGAATAAATTACCCGCGTCTCACCCGGAAGATTCGAAACTCAGTGAAAAAAACCGAACATTTCCCCCTCAGATTCACGTTCCCGCCAAAAAACACCACAGGGACACAAAGGCCCCCCCACACACGCACCGGAGCAGGCCCCAAAAACGCCTCAAGGGCCTCCGCCTCACATAAAACTCCCAAATCCGCCCTGACCGGAGAGGAAAGAGCCCGCGAAAGGTCGGAATACGCCGACGCGCCTTCCCAGCCCGCCACACAAAACACCCGCTGTCGAAACCCTGTCAGCGGCCAAGAAGGACCTGATGGAAAGAGCCAGCAAAAGAAAGGCCAGGCCGAGCCCTCGCCTTCTTCTCCCCCACAAACACACCGCTATACAAGAGTTCTTTCCCCACATACACACAAGACTGGAAATGGGGTCAGGGACGACCCCTACCCTACCCGTGCGCAGGCAGTTGTTCCTCAGGGCCTGTGGAAGCACCTCTCGAACTCAGAGCCCAGGAACGGGAAGGAAGGAGGGGAGGGGGCAGGCCTGGGGCTTGCCCAGCACCCGCCTCCCTAGATCCCACCCACCCGTGGCCCCTCTCAGCTGAGTGAGCGTGAGCTAGCCCACAGTCTTTTAGCCTCCGGCTCACACGTTTTTTGCCTTCACTCAGGAAGTGCAGAAAAGGGCAACTGGAATAAAAAAGGGGTTGGAACCAGCGTTCCCTCTAAGCTGAGTTAGTGTGAGCTAGCTCACAGTTTTAGCCTCCGGCTCACAACTGGAATGATAAAAGGTTCCGTCTAAGCTGAGTTATGTGTGAGCTAGCTCACAGTTGTTTAGCCTCCAGCTCAGGTTTTTGCCTTCGCTCAGAAAGGATAGCTCCAGAAGAGCAAGCTAATTTATGCAGTAGCCAAAATTGCTTGCTCACAACTTTAATACCAGGAGCTCACAAAGTACAATTTTTGCTCACAGGACTCCACAGCTTAGCAGGAGCATTCTGCTCGACCCCTGCTGTTGGGGGGGGCACCGAGAAGGCTCTGCCCCCCAATTCTTTCAGACTGGGGGGGATCTCTTGCACCCCTTTTTGCAGCCAATCCGGCAGAGAGAGCTAACCCAGAAAAGAGTAGCTAGAATGATAAAAGGGTTGGAACACTTTCCCTATGAAGAAAGGTTGAGGTGCTTGGGGCTCTTTAGCTTGGAGAAACGACGGATGAGGGGTGACATGATCGAGGTTTATAAGATTCTCCCTTTCGCACCATGCAAGAACTGGTGGGCACTCCATGAAATTGCTGAGCGGTCGGGTTAGAACGGATAAAAGGAAGGACTTCTTCACCCAAAGAGTGATTAACACCTGGAATTCACTGCCACAGGAGGTGGCAGCGGCTACAAGCATGGATGGCTTCAAGATGGAATTAGGCCCCGGTCACACGGGCAGGAAAATGTGGGGGGGGGAGCGTGGCTGTTTGGCCCTGACCAAAATAATGCGCGGCTGCGCGATCAGACGTCCTGTCGAAGTCCCGTGGTTAGGGGGGAGGTGCTGATCACAGGACAATCCTGCAGCGCGGCAAAGAAGCGGCCTTTCTAGCAAAAGGCTCCACGGGTTTAACCCCTTCCAGGGCTGCAGAGGAATGCAAACTGTGTCCTCCATCCGGTCTACTCCAGGAGGAGCTTCAGCCTTCAGCCGGGCCGCCCTTCTGCCACGCCCCCCCCCCCGCACCTCACCCTCTGCCTCCTGGTGCAGAGAGTTCCTCTCGAGCAGGCCGAGCCAGGAGTGGGGGGGTATGAAAAAGAGGAGGGGGATGTGTTGTTTGTTTCTAAACAAAGTGTGCGCATGCGCCGTTGGGTGCTTGTGCGCATCCCGTGGAGACTTGGGGGAAAAAACCCTTTTAGTGAGTGGGACATGGGCAGGTGCCGGATGCCACGACCTACCACCAGAAACACGATCAGGCGCCCGCCCTTGCCCCGCGGTTTCCGGAAACTAGTACCCCTGAGGTACTAGTTTTTTACCTCGCATCTTTGGCGGGAAGCTTCGGGTTAGCCACAGGAGCTTTACGCTTCCCAGATGTTGCGGTGTGATCGCGCCCTGAAAATAAACAGCCACCGATCTTCCATCTCTGTAGCGTGGCTAATGCTCCATGTGACCGCAGCCTTAGATAAGCATATGGAGCAGAGATCCATCAGTGGCTATTAGCCACTGATAATAGAGAGGAACTCTCAGTCTGGGGCAAGTAGTGCTCCATATTCTTGGTGCTTGGGGGGTGGGAAACAGTGGGAGGGCATTTGGAGTTCTAGCCCCACTGCTGGATCTCCTGATGGCACCTGGTATATTTGGCCACTGTGTGACACAGAGCGTGTTGGACTAGATGGGCCTGACCCAACACTGGCTTCTCTTATATTCGTGTATGAACTCTCGGTCTGGGGCAAGGGATGCTCTGTCTTCTTGGTACTTGGGGTGGGGCTTCTGGTATCCTGGCCCCACTGCTGGACCTCCTGATGGCCCCTGGTATTTTTGGCCACTGTGTGACAAGAGTGTTGGCCTGGATGGGCCATTGGCCTGTTCCAACACTGGCTTCTCTTATATTCGTGTATGAACTCTCGGTCTGGGGCAAGGGATGCTCTGTCTTCTTGGTACTTGGGGTGGGGCTTCTGGTATCCTGGCCCCACTGCTGGACCTCCTGATGGCCCCTGGTATTTTTGGCCACTGTGCGACACAGAGTGTTGGACTGGATGGGCCAATGGCCTGATCCAACATTGGCTTATCTTATAACTCTCAGTCTGGGGCAAGGGATGCTCTGTCTTCTTGGTACTTGGGGTGGGGCAAGAGTGGGAGGGGGCTTCTAGTGTCCTGGCTCCACAGCTGGACCTCCTGATGGCACCTGGTATTTTTGGCCACTGTGTGACACGGAGTGTTGGACTAGATAGGCCATTGGCCTGATCCAACAGTACCTTCTCTTATGTTCTTATATGAACTCTCGGTCTGGGGCAAGGGATGCTCTGTCTTCTTGGTACTTGGGGTGGGGGGAGCAACAATGGGAGGGCGTCTAGTGTCCTGGCCCCACTGATGGACCTCCTGATGGCACCTGGTGTGTTTGGCCACTGTGTGACAGAGTGTTGGACTGGATGGGCCACTGGCATGATCCAACATGGTCTTCTCTTATGTTCTTATGAAGGATGGCCAAATTGCTCGCTCTCAACTTTAATACCAGGAGCTCACAAAGTAGAATTTTTACTCACAGGATTCCACAGCTTAGCAGGAGCATTCTGCTCGACCCCTGCTGTTGGGGCGGGGGGCACTGAGAAGGCTCTGCCCCCCCCCGGCTTCTTTCAGGCTGGGGTGTGTGTCTCTTGCAAGATAACGCCCCGCCCCCCAGCTTGCAGCAGGGCAACCCAGAACAAGCACTCCACCATGCACACACCTGGTTCCCCCTCTCCCAGGGATCCCACCCTCCAGGTGGGACCTGGGGACCCCCGAACTATGTGACAGCTCACCTGGGGGTGGCCAAACATGCTTAACGGGACAAGCCAGAGAATATCAGATGTCTGCGAGCCCTGAAGAACTATTACATGTCTTGATTGGGAAATATGCACATTTGCTTTTCATTAACATTCAACTGCATGAAAGAGCTGCATCGGTCTTCCATGCCTGCCTTCCTGGGGCAGCCAAGTCACAGCACTTTTCATCTTGGGAGGGGGAAACAGCCCATCGCCTGCTTTAAAAGACAGGACACACACACCCCTAAACTCAGAGCAAAGCGGAACACCTTCCTCCCCCCCCCATTTGGGCTCTTCTGCAGGGGGGGGGTCCGACCAGCTTCCAGCTGGGAATTGAGGGCTAGTTCCAGCCAATGTTCCCTCTAAGCTGAGTTCACGTGAGCTAGCTCACAGTTTCTTAGCCTCCAGCTCACCGTTTTTTGTCTTCGCTCAGGGAGGAGGGCTCCAGAGCATACTGATTTATGCAGGAGCCAAATGGCTTGCTCACAACTTTAATGCCAGGAGCTCACAAAATAGAAGTTTTGCTCACAAGACTCCGCAGCTTAGAGGGAGCCTTGGTTCCAGCTCCTGCCAACCTAGCAGTTCAAAAGAAAGAAATTGCAAGTAGATAAATAGGTACCACTTCAGTGGGAAGGTAAAAGCGTTCCATGCGCCTTGGTGCTTAGTCATGCCGGCCACATGACCACTGAAACGTCTTCGGACAGCGCTGGCTCTTCGGCTTTGAAACGGAGATGAGCACCGCAACCCTAGAGTCGGATTCAACTGACTTTCGAGCAAGGGCAACCTTTACCTGCCAGGCCGAAGGTCACCCCCCCCCCCAGTGAAGACGGGTCTGGCTTTCTGCAGGGCATTTCCTGTACACACCAAAGCATCCCATCAGCCTTCCTGGAACCCCCACCAGCTTTCCAAGTTCACCCCCCTTTGACTACCCCCTTCCAATAAGGAGCCACCCCGCTGTTCCCCAGCCCCGCCCAGACATTCCCAAAGAAATGCACGATGGATGACAGGATTGACCCCCCACACACACTGCTATTGCAAAAAGAGAGCACCATTGGGAAAATTAAGATTTACCCCCAATTCCTAGGAGGCGTTTTCAAAACCGGCATCTGCATCAAATATAAATAAAGAAATCAGTGTAGCTTTAAAGGAGCCACAGAGGAGAAGGTGGGGGGCTCCCCCCTCTGGAAGACGCCCCTCCTCCCCCCGCCGCACACAAAAAAGGGGGTGCCCATTGTCAGGGGCCACGTGATAGCCAACTTCTCCCTTTCCATAAGCGGCCAGCGCCCGGACTCGCCTCTCCTTGCCCCCCCATTGGACGGAGAACGCCAGAGGAGGCGGAAGGAACGGCTTGATTGACA